AAACAACCAATGTGTCAATGAAGAAAGACAACAGAAAAAAACCCAACCTGATGCCTTAGGATATGATGACTGCCCTTTATTGATCCTGGGGATAGAGTCAGTTGACATCATTTAACAGAAGGTGAAACTTTTGTTTCTTTTTTATTTAAAAAATTTTTTTTTATTTATCATTCATTTATTTAGAGAGCGCACGCAAGTGGAGGAGAGGGGAGAGGGAGAGAGGTAGACTCCCTGCTGAGCGCAGAGCCCCACATGGGGCTCGATCTCACAATCCTGGGGCCACGGCCTGATCCAAGATCAAGACTCCGACACTTAACTGACTGAGCCACCCAGGCGTCCCGAAACTCTTGTTTCTTTGTAATTTCTTTCTAGGTCTAGGACCTGCTATTTATTTAGTTAAGTCATATTTAAGGGACCTTATTTGATGCTGCAATTGTGACTGAACCAGGAGAGATTAGTGAGTACATTTAGGAGATGAGGCCTTCCACAACTGTTACAGGCTTGCTTGTTATCAGATACTTTTTTTAACACTCTGAAGGGTAGGAGGACGGGAAAAGAGCCCTTACCTTTGATGCCTGAGCAATGGGTTCTTAGGGAAAATGAGAAGGAATAGTTTCACAGATTACCATTATACAGACAAAAAAATGTGACTGTTCTTCCAGTTAGTGTGTGATGGGAACAAACCTCCCCATGTCAAACCATCTTTAGCAATAGAAATATTTGCAGCAGAATTTTCTGAATGCATAATAAAAAGGGAATTGTGTAAATTATTTTTCACTTAAAAGCGTTCTCCTATCTCAAACTATAATTTGGTCCTTTAAATAGTTGCAGTTGAACAAACTGACCTTGCTGTGAGGTCAATTTTAGCTTTCCATTAGAGGACAAGGTTTTCCTCTGGATTTGTATTTTGTATTTTAAGCCAGGTAGGAAATGAAGCTTTAAATCTTAAAGAAGGCCTTAGTTGGTTTGGAATAATGACGTGTGAGATGATGAAGAAGAGAATAAATTATGTCTTCTGGAGAGAAATTAACTCTCTAGATCCCTGTGATCAAGTTAGAGACACATTACTGTTTAGGGTACGAGGAGGTACCTGAAGTACCCTAAAAGTATTGCCACTTCTCTAAAACATAAACATTGATCATCATGTTTTCCAACAAAGTTTACGTTTGGTTGTAGAGTGTCATTTTCGTTTTTTGAGTATATTGCAAGAACTCTCATTCTTTGACGATACAGACTAAAGACAAAAGGATACTGGTGTCTGTGTATGCTGTGAGTATGTATCTCTGAAGCAGGCAGTGAGTTTTACAAATAAAAGGGAAGTTCAAGGAATATCATGACGTTCAAGTCCACATGTTACCTCTGAAATTCAAGCATTCAAAGAGTTATAAGGAGTTTGTTATAGCTTAGCTCTCTTCTTCTTATCAGACATTCTATAACAAGCACTCATGTGAGCACCAGCATAGCAAAAACATGTTTTCCCAGATTATCAGTTAGAAACCGTGTTGGCAACAAATTAGTTGAACATTTAAGGATGTCAAAATCATTTCGTCAGGACCATTGCTTTGTTGCAGAGTGACTTGATCTAACCGGCTTACTTTTTGTGGTTACTTGTCATTTGTTGGCATGTGTTTGAGCAAATTAAATGTTTTTAGTCTTTGAGGTGTTTTAAGGGTGTGTGCGTGTGTGTATTTTTTTTAAACAGTACTTTTTGTGTGTCTGCTATTGAAGGAAACTGATATCCTTCTTTTGTTTTTAACATAGAAACCAAGGCAGCAAAAGTGCTGCTTTGCAGTCTCACCACAGATCCAACAGCAAGGACATCCAGAACCTAAGTGTGGGTCTGCCCCGGGCTGACGAAGGTCTTCCTGCCAACGAAAGCTTCCTAAACGGAAATCTTGCTGGAGCTACTCTTAGTCCCATGCACACCAAAACCTACCAAGCAAGCAGCCAACCTGGGTCTACCAGCAAAGATCTTACCAACAATAACATACCACATCTTCTCAGCCCAAAAGAAGCCAAGTCAAAGACAGAGTTTGATTTTAATATTGACCCAAAGCCTTCGGAAGGCCCAGGCACAAAGTACCTCAAGTCAAGCAGCAGATCTCAGCAGAACCGGCACTCATTTATGGAAAGCTCTCAGAGCAAAGCTGGGACACTGCAGCCCACTGAAAAGCAGAGTCGGCATAGCTACATTGACACTATTCCACAGTCCTCTAGGAGTCCCTCCTACAGGACCAAGGCCAAAAGCCACGGGGCGTTGAGTGACTCCAAGTCTGTGAGCAACCTTTCTGAAGCTAGGGCCCAAATTGCAGAGTCCAATACCAGCAGGTACTTCCCATCCAGCTGCTTGGACTTGAACTCTCCCACCAGCCCAACGCCCACCAGGCACAGTGACACGAGAACTTTGCTCAGCCCCTCGGGGAGAAATAATCGAAGTGAAGGCACTCTTGACTCACGCCGAACCACAACCAGGCATTCTAAAACGATGGAGGAGTTGAAGCTGCCTGAGCACATGGACAGCAGCCATTCCCATTCTCTGTCTGCACCTCATGAATCCTTTTCTTATGGGCTGGGCTACACTAGCCCCTTCTCTTCCCAGCAGCGTCCACATAGGCATTCCATGTATGTGACCCGGGACAAAGTGAGAGCCAAAGGCTTGGACGGAAGCTTGAGCGTAGGGCAAGGAATGGCGGCCAGGGCCAACAGCCTGCAGCTCTTATCACCTCAGGTACAGACTGGACCTTGACTAGATCTGTTGGCTCATCATGGGAAGGTGGTGCAGGGGTGTGAATAGAGTCAATCTGCAGTTTTCTCTACTGTAGGAGGTTGTGCTTTTTTGATAGAATGCATTTAGGGAAGCAATACTTGAAGGACTATCTGTTAAAAAAAATTAATTATTTAAGGCCCACTGTTGAGTACTCAGGAGAATTCAAAAAAAATTTGTTTTTAGAAATCTGCTTCTTAAGTGTTCCTTTCTGGCGTATTTTGTTGAGAGAATCCTATTTTGATTTAGTACGAAGTTCATTGGTTGTACGGGATAGTTTTTAATTTTCTCAAAATTTAGTGTGATTTGTAGAGATTTTCTCTAATCTTTCCAGACCACGTTTGTTTAAATCAGACACTTTTACTTATACCTTACTCGATATTTTCACTGAATTGAAAAATTTCTAATTTATCTAGAACTATAGGTAAATTTAACTTCAGGCCAAAATAAATGTTAATTTACAGTCTTTTGGATTGTTTTTAAATCTCAAGGCATTGTTTTTATCCTCATGCTTCCTCCGTCTTACTGATTTTTCAAACTCTAGAACTGCTGACAGTAACCTGTTTAAAAGAAGTAGCAGTCCTACAACAGAACACGTTTTTTAAATTACATTTTCATTCTATGAAACATTCATCTGCATCAACGAAATGAGGGTGGAGATAAGCCAGTGTCAGAAGGAGAGAAGAATTTCATGTAGGGAAAGTACTCCCCTTTTCGAGGATATGAAAATAGATTCACCAGACAGTTCTGTGTCAGAACTCCAGAAAATATGGATGGAATATGTAATGGGAGGTTTAGCAAGATGGGTGCTGAAGATGGGGTGGAGATTGTCAGTAACGGACCAGTTGGTGTAGCAAAGCAGCTAAGAGCTCAGGTTGGGAAACCAGGCGGACCTGGGTTTGTGTCCCAGTTCTGTAGTCTGCTTCAAATGATGTAAATCTGGGGAAGTGATATAATCTCTCTTTGCCTCAGATTCCTCATCTGAGTCGTGTCGTAAGGTTTCAACATGGTGTATAAAGCACCGTGCCCCGTGCCTGGCAGAGTGTCAAACACATTTTAATTGTTGCTGCTTCTGTGATGGTGGGGACTGTTTTCTAGACCTTTAACATTCTCTCTATGCTAGGTGTTCTCAGACACTCAAAAGAGTCTGAGGTAGGGTTCTTGCCCTTGACAAACTTATCTTCTCTCAGGGAACATTAAATTATACATGATAACAATGAAATAATTAAGAAGCAAATTACTATGGCACTGGCTATAAATAGGAGTTGAGAACAGGGAAAGATCATGAATAGGAGCAGTTAGAAATGGCTTTGGGAGCAACTAAAGGTCTTGCTCTGAGCTAGGATGTAGAGAGAAGCTTTGGATGGCTAAAGAATGAGGATGTGTTCAGTATTTACTGAATGAGGCACCATGGTGGGCTCTCCTGAGAAAGATGAAAAAGGTATGACCCCTATACTCTTGGAGTGCATGTTGGGGCCCACTTGCCAGGGATCGGTCATGGCAATACCGTGAGGCTGTTGTGCCCACGCCGCGCTAGAGGCAAGTGTGCCATAGACAGAGAGGCATGGCCCAGTCCAGGCAGGGGTTGTGGAAGGTTCCCTGGGGAGGTGGCGTCTGAGAAGAGATTTCTGGGGCTTAACTAGGGGGAGAAAGTGGAGTTGACCTTAAGAAAGGCTGGAAAGGAGGGCAGAAAAGAGGAGGAGGCTAATAGAGACATTAAACAGCATGGTGTGCTGTGGGGATTGCAACTTGTTCCTCGTTGCCCAAGTGAAAAATGCAAGATTTGAGGTTGCTTTTGGAGTAAATCAAGCATGAGGGGAGGGGGGAATGTTCTACCCTTAGTGCTGGTGGGAAAACAGAAATAGTGGGTCTTAAAGACTCCTCAGAAGTACAAAGAGCAGGATATGTGAATTGAAAGATTGAAGACAGGAAAAAGGAAGCCTTCAGGCTTCTTTCCTAGGAACTCCTTTTCAGAGTAGGAGAAAGGACTTTTGAAGTTACCTAATTCAACCCCTTCATTTCATAGATGAGTGTGCTAAGGATCTAAGAAGTTAGGTGGGTTGCCCAAGTTTTACCCAACTAGTCCAAGGTGGAGCTGGGATCATGGGACAGTGTCTAGGTCCCTAGGCCAGCATTCTTTGCACTGTATCATGCTGACCTGTTGAGGCTGAAGTGACCCTAGGCCCCTAAGCAGAGCTGTCCTTTATGAGGTTGGAAAGACTGGTACCCAGGTAAGAGGAGGAGTGGGAGATGCATACTTGCAGATGGAGGAGATGGCACATGGCGGGAGATGCAATGATTGGAGTCAGAACAGTGGTTGGAGGAGTCCCTCTAGAGAAGAGAGAACCTCTAGGGCCTAGAAAGATCTCTAGAGCCTGGCAGCTGCCCATAGACATTCAGTAAATACTGAACACATCCTCATTCTTTAGCCATCCAAAGCTTCTCTCTACATCCTAGCTCAGAGCAAGACCTTTAGTTGCTCTTTGACATTAGATGGATGTCAAAACCAGGTAAAGCATGCTAGCATGCAGCGTAGGGTAAATAGAGGAGATGTAAGAAAAATAAAAAGCTGAACTTGGAGAAAAGACAAATGGACTGGTTCTCAGAGTTCCAGAAAAAAGACTGTGAACATTGTGGAGATAATCTAATTATAAATGGTTACTGTGGGCTAAGCACAGACCCAACTGTTACAGAATTTTAAGTCCAGTTCGGGAGGTACAGTTCCAAGCTGCAAGATAGTACAAGTTTAAAGGCACAAAGATGACATTGACTAAAGCCATGAGTAAATGATGAGAATCACTGTCCTACAAAATATTCTGGCCACCTTCAAGAGGAAGGGGACTGAACTAGCACTGTCACTTAAGAGTTAGGTTAGATATAAATCATTGTTTTCTAAAAGACTTTTCTAGAGGGCTTTGTGAAGTATACAGGTGCTGAAATTCAAATGAGATCTTATCACAAGTTAGGAAGAAGAAAGGCTACCTAGGATGATTTCCTGCCCAGAATATTCTTTCATAGTACATCTGGGGAGTGAGGGAGACAAAGACAGAATCCTGTTTAAAGTTTAAATAAAATGTTTTTGATATATCACGTAAGGCTCAAGATATGACTCTCTGCAGATATGCAATGCAGCTAAGTCCTCCTAATGCCTTGGTAATTTTGTTCCTTAATCTTGTTTTCCTCAAGGGTAGAAGATGCCACTTTTCCCCTCAGTGAACACCATTGTGGACCAAGGCTGCTCTTAGCTTGTGTTTCACTTCCTTGAGGGAAATAGGCAGTGTCTCCTGAGATGTGTGCTGTCCTGATCATGGTTTAGAAAGTACAATGAAATACAAGTACTGTTACCCTAGAGAAGATTAAGAAAACTTTAAGTACATAAAATTACAGTAGTTAGGGAATTTTAAGACAAATCATTAAGAGTACTGATTCTCTTCCATGATCTATCAAAAGAACATTTGATTTCATCTGAATCTGCCATTTAAGTTCTTAGTGAAAAATAATTTTGGATCTGCATAGTTCTTTTTGGAAAAATCTGCTAAAGAAATTTTGGATTAACTAATAGAATCTATTTAGAGTGCTGCACAGAACCATGACTATCTAGATATTAGGAAGATAATTTTCTTTGTTTTTAATAATTAATTGAACTATTTTCAGCATAATTCTTTCCCTGCTTGCCTTAACTTTAATGAGAATTTCACTTTCCATCTGTGTGACATTTGTTTGAATTATTTTACATTCATCAGATGATTCACTCTTTTATGGGACAATTTGTGTTTTAGCCAACTAACATTTTTTTATTTTAGCTGGTGAAGGTACTAATTATGCCAAATAAAGCCCATGGTGATTTAGGTGATTTTCATCCCTAGGAACAGGACACTCTTATAAATCCTTTTAAATTTGACTTCCAGCCTGGAGAACAGCTCCCTCCAGAGATGACTGTGGCTCGATCTTCTGTTAAAGAATCTTCCAGAGAAGGCACCTCTTCGTTCCATGCAAGGCAGAAGTCTGAGGTCTGAATTCTCCACAAGTTGCTAACTTTTACTATAAAACTTGTCTGTAAAGAGTAGTCATGTGACATCATTACAGCCTATCTTGTAAAATTTCTTCATACCTAATCTCCCGCAAATAACTTAAACTGGCTTATGAAGTTAAGTAGTTTTCCTCATGCCATAATTCTGAGTTTTCTCTTTAAAAGATCCTGGAGTAAATTCTAGATCAGTTACACACTATTCTAAGTTAATAGGCCACATCATCATCGCTCTATTGTTAACTTTTTATAAACCTCTTTCTTGTCTCAGGGTGGAGCCTATCATGACCCCCACTCTGATGATGGCACTGCCCCCAAAGAAAATAGACACCTGTACAATGACCCTGTTCCGAGGAGAGTTGGCAGTTTCTACCGAGGTGAGCCCAGCCCTGAGCACCCACCCGGGTCCTCTCTCTCTTCCCCTTCCCTGCACCTCCAGCCCATGCCCTCCACTACACTTCACTGCCTTGACTTCAGGTCAGCACGGTTCTTGTCTGTGCTGTTGCCTTCCAACACTTCTCTCCGCTTCAGGTCCTGCTGTCTTAGTTTAGGCCCTCATGGCTTCTGACTTGGGTTCTTTGAGTAGCCTCCCGGCTGATCTCCCTATTTCCCAAGGTTGCGATCAAACCAGTCCCTGGAATGATCCATTTGCAGCTGTGTCCTGGCCATCCCACTCATTCATTCAATTAAGTGCCTAAGGTATTTATTGATGTCACCTGTGTGCCGGGTGCTGGTCTAGCTTAGAACATGTCAGTGAACAAGACAGCCAGAGGTCTCCACCTTCATGGAGCTCACATTCTCTCGAGGAGAGAACTACACTAAATGTAAGAATTATTAGAGCAGTAAAAGATAATAAATGCTACGAGGCAAAAACAGAGCAAGGCAACCCACTGCCTGCCCCCAGTCCTTACTGTCTCTCACCTGCTGACGGTCCTCCGGTGGTTTCCCATTGACATCACAACAAAATCTGGATTCCCTAAGATGACTTTCCAGATATTCCATGCCCTGGCCCTTGCCGTGCTCTCCAGGTGCTGCTCCTCCCTCCTGAAACACACTCCTCCCCTGCTTGGATAGCTTGTTTCTGTCCCATTTAAGGTTCTACTTTGAAGTCCTCTGCAGTACGATGTCTTCCCTCTCCACCTAAAGTGAAATGTTTTCTTCTCCGTTCTACCCATGGTTCCTTGTCTAGCGCTCTAACATGACACAGACTACATGGTATTGATTCTTTGTCTGCATTTCTCTCTCACAAGGTTGCAAGGCCCTTGATCATATGTTCCTCTTTTACCTTCATTGACTAGCGTACTGCCTGACAGTTTCATAAATATTTGTTGATTGAATGAAAGAAAATCCTCAAGTGTACTTGCACAGCCTTAGAAATGTACTTCGATGGTTAACTGACAACTAAAACAGAGGCTTTGGAGGCTGTATGGATTTAGGAGATGTTGACAGAGAAAGGCATCCCCTTTGAAGAGCTATGTAGCAATAGAGTGAGAACCCCTCCAGAGCTCTAGCCCCTGGTAGGGAGACTAACAGCAAGCCCACCAGGATAGAGGCAAGGTCCTAGATGTTTCAGAGGCTCAGCTTCTTAAAGCCTGTAAGAGTCATCATGACCTTCTACAGTTGCCCTCACCCACATCGTTTGGCTTTTCACTATTCTTTTGATTTGGGGGGACAGCTGGAAAGGGACAGGAATTGGGGGAGAACACGGACAGCTGCTTGGTCATCTTAACTAGGAACCTGAGCTAAATAAATGTATAGAAGTATTATTTAGGACTAAATATGTATTGATTTAGGCTACTTGTTCCTTCCCAGCCCCATTTGAAAAAAGCATAGGGCATTGAATATGCCTTTTAATGCATTTGGCTTTTTCTCATGCTCTGGTCACTTTATAATCTTAAGGGACTAAAATTTTAATTCAGATTAAAGTTAGCTAAAATATTGTAGTGTATATGAGCAAATCCCTTTTTTTCTGTCACTGTAAGTTTTACTTCCAAAATGGATCATACCTGTGTTATTCTATAGATGTCTGGAGTATATACTTTAATATAAAATGTTAACAAAGTTTTGATTAATTAGGAAAGACAGTTTTATTTTGATTGCAAGTGAATTGAATTGGTTCATGTCAGCAAAGCCCCTCATTTATCTTCCTCATAATACACTTCAGGGTTTAGCAGGTAGAACATTTTTATTTTAGAAAGTCCAGAAATAGAAGGAAGAGATTTAACCAGGTGAAACATCTGGAGACATCTGCCATTTCAGTAATTCTTCCAAATCTAACTGGATGAAGATTTAGTGGTATCATTGAAATGACAGATGTTTCTAGAATACTTCCTGTTTTTAGTCCTACTCGTCAAGAGGCAAGTGAAGGGCGCATGGGTGGCTCAGATGGTTAAGCGTCTGCCTTCGGCTCAGGTCATGATCTCAGGGT